GCCATTCTCACTAGGGTTAAGTGATATCTCATTGTGGTTTTGATTTGCATTTCCCTGATGATTAGAGATGTTGAGCATTTCTTCATATGTTTGTTGGCCATTCTTCTGTCTTCTTTAGAAAAATTTCTGTTTTTTTTAAGGATGTCTTTCTCTTTGTCTTTTCTGCAGGGCTCTCTCCTTGCCCTCTTTTCTGTCTATAGACCACAAGCTCCACCCCCCGGGGAATTTCGTGTCAATAACCTAGTACATTGCTCCATGTTATTTTCCAAACTCAAATAACCCTACACTGTCTATACATCTGATACATATATGTATAGACATATACATATAGAGATATATATTAATAGATATCAATGTATAAATAGACATATACATATCTCCACACATATATACATATATAGGATTGTTGCTTTTTATCCTCCAAAAATAAAATATGAACTTCAGCTCTCTGCATCTAGCTTTTCTCATGCGACAGCGCCTCATGGAAATCCTCATGTCATTCAGTTCACCTTTTTTAATGGCTGGGTGGGTGGTTTTTGTGGCCTGTGGCGTGGATGTACCAGCATTTATTCAGTCATTGTCCTATTGAAGGGAATTCACGTGGTTTTGATGTTTTTTCCCTCCCACATGAGAGATTCAGCAATAAACATCCTGGTGACAAGATGACAGTTTATTATTTATGTTTCTACATGTCTTAAATAATGTCTAATAAAATTGAAAAACGTGGATGACATATCCCTTTCATGCATTTAAAGAAAGTTCTAAAATGTGTGATGAAATGAAATGAAAAGTCATAATTAAAATTTAAAAGTGGCCGGGCGCGGTGGCTCACGCCTGTAATCCTAGCACTCTGGGAGGCTAAGGTGGGCGGATTGCTCGAGGTCAGGAGCTCAAAACCAGCCTGAGCAAGAGCAAGACCCCATCTCTACTATAAATAGAAAGAAATTGATTGGCCAACTAATATATATAGAAAAAAAAATTAGCTAGGCATGGTGGCGCATGCCTGTAGTCCCAGCTACTCGGGAGGCTGAGGCAGGAGGATCGCTTGAGCCCAGGAGTTTGAGGTTGCTGTGAGCTAGGCTGACGCCACGGCACTCACTCTAGCCTGAGCAACAAAGGGAGACTCTATCTCAAAAAAAAAAAAAAAAAAAATTTTAAAAGTAAGAAACAGGCCGGGCGCTGTGGCTCACGCCTGTAATCCTAGCTCTTGGGAGGCCGAGGCGGGCGGATTGCTCAAGGTCAGGAGTTCAAAACCAGCCTGAGCAAGAGCGAGACCCCATCTCTACTATAAATAGAAAGAAATTGATTGGCCAACTAATATATATAGAAAAAATTAGCCGGGCATGGTGGCGCATGCCTGTAGTCCCAGCTACTCAGGAGGCTGAGGTAGGAGGATCCCTTGAGTCCAGGAGTTTGAATCTAGCCTGGGCAACAGAGCAAAACCTTGTTTTAAAACAAAAACAAAGACAAAATCCAACATATATGTATATGTGTGTGTGTGTGTGTAAAGAAATAGTGAAGTGGCCC